GCGTGAAGATCGGTCGGCTGACGTGCAGCCGTCAACGGCGGTGCGTGGACCACGCCGATGCTGGATCTGCCGAGCGATCGGCCACATCTCCGTTGGCTGCCCTCAGCGTCAGCAGCCGGGAAACAGCGCGGGAGAGGCCGCATCAGCGCCGGCGTCCTCTCCAGGGCGGCAGTAGCAGAGGTTCTGCCGATGGCGCAGCTGCGAGTGGCAGGCAGGGAATGCAGGGCGATAGTGGACAGCGGCTGTACGGAGAACCTGGTGTTCGCACCGTACTGCAGCGACTGGCGGAAGGAGCGAGTCCGGGTAACATCGATGAGTGGGGATCCTTTCTACTGTGACGGAGTTGGAAAGGTGGCTGTGGAAACGGCCTCGGGTCAGGCCGCGGTGGTCGACGTACTGGTAATGAGAGAGAAGCCGCTTGGCGCGGAGATGGTGATTGGTGTCAGTGGAATATCAGCACTAGGTGGTGTGCTGATCGGGTCGCAGCGAGAGGTGAGGTTTTGTGGTGCGGTGAGTCGGCTGTGTGACCAGCTGACTGTGGAGGCGTCGGATTTCGGGGCTCAGTTCGATCCTGTGGCTCGAGCGTGGACTGTAGCCTGGAAATGGCGTGACGGTGCGGCACCAGAGTGCCTCGGCAACGGCGTAGCGGAGTATTCCGTACCGGAGGACGCTAAGGAAGAGTTCGACGCTGAACTTCAGTCCTGGATTGAAAACGAATGGTTGGTGCCGTATGATGAGGATTTGTACGGACCACCGCGAGGACTGATCCCGCTCATGGCTGTTCAGCAGAAAAACAAGACCAAAGTGCGACCCGTCTTGGATTATCGAGAGCTCAACAGTCATGTGGTGCCCCACACCGCCGATGCGGACGTGTGTGCCGCCACCCTCAGGAAATGGCGGCGGCACGGCACCAATGTCGCTATCGTCGACCTGAAGAGAGCATATCTTCAGCTGAGGACGGAGCAGAGCCTGTGGCCGTTCCAGACTGTGATGGTGAACGGTCAGCGGTATGCACTCTCTAGGGTCGGATTTGGTTTGAATGTGGCCCCACTTATCATGAAGGCTGTAGTGCGCGCCGTGCTACAGCAGGACCCGGCGATGGAGAGTGCGGTGCTGCCGTACATGGACGACTTGTGTGTGAATGAGGACATCGTCAGCGCTGAACGTGTGGTGGCCCACTTCGCTCAGTACGGGCTAGAGTGCAAGCCGCCGGAGCGAGCGGCTGCCGGTGCACGCCTGCTTGGTTTGCACGTGCGGGCGGTGGGTGGAGTGCTGCGCTGGGCGCGTGACAACGTCGTAGGGCCACCACCTGTCACGCTGACGCGGCGGAGCGTCTTCGCCTGGTGTGGTCGCCTGGTGGCACACCTGCCCGTGTGCGGCTGGCTTCGGCCCGCCGCCGCCTGGTTAAAGCGGCGGGCTAACGCGGTGACGAACAGTTGGGACCAGCCAACAGACGATGCCACCCTGCGTCAGCAGATTGACTATGTGGCCAGTAGGCTGGCCCGCGACGACCCGGCTCACGGACGGTGGCATGTTGAAGGCGATCACGCGGTGGTGTGGACGGATGCCAGCTCGATAGCGGCCGGAGTGGTGCTGGAGACGCCGACTGGAGACCCAATCGAGGACGGCTGCTGGCTCCGACGTGACGAGACAGCGCACATCAACATGGCGGAGCTGGACGCCGCCGTGCGGGGCATCAATCTCGCCATCGCCTGGGAAATGCGTCGACTGGACCTCAGGACTGACTCTGCTACCGTGCACAGATGGATAAGCGACGCTCTGAGCGGGCGCTCCCGTCTGAAGACCAAGGCCCACGGTGAGATGATCAGGCGGCGCATCGACATGGTGAAGCAGCTGGTGGACGAGTTCGGCATCGACCTGTCAGTGACCCTGGTGCCGACCGCCCACAACAAAGCGGACTGCCTGACGCGGGTGCCGGTCGAGTGGGTACGCGGAGACGACCCGAGTGTAGGCGAGCCCGCGGTCGCCGCTGCGGTGGTCGGGCCAGTGACTGATGCGGGAGAAGATGACGCTCACGGGGCTGATGCGGGTGTTGTGGAGGACACTGTCGGCACGCGCGAGTCGTCGGCCATCAGCGAGGTTCATGCCAAAGCTGGACACCCCGGTATTCGGCGAACTCTGTACTTTGCCCGTCGTGACATATCGCCGAGTATCACGCGGAGCCAGGTGCAAAAGGTGGTGTCAGACTGTGACGTGTGTCGGTCAGTGGACCCGGCACCCGTCAAGTGGCGTGGCGGGGAACTGGGGGTGAAGGAAACCTGGACCAGACTCGCCATAGACATTACGCACTACCGAAACCGGTCGTACTTGTCAATCATTGACTGTGGTCCGTCGCGGTTTTGTGTGTGGCGCCCACTGCGCCGAACGGACTCGGCCAGTGTGACGGAGCAGCTGGAGGAGATATTTTGTGAGCGCGGTGCCCCAGTCGAACTTCTGGCAGACAATGACACCGCGTTCCGCAGCAGAGAGTTCTCTGTGTTCGCGGCAGGATGGGGCGTACAGCTCCGATTCAGGGCCGTTCACCGACCGAGTGGAAACTCTATCGTGGAGCGAAACCACCGTTCGGTGAAGGTCATCGCTGCTCGTAAACAGTGCTCCGTGTCTGAGGCCGTTCATTTATATAATGTGACGCCTCGCGATGGTGTATCGGCGTCATCATCACCTGCGAGCGCAGTGTATGTGTACCCCGTGCGTGACCGAGTGCGCCCACCTGGTGGAACCGGTGAGGAGGACCGAGACGATCTATCACGCGAGCCCGCGTCGTACCGAGTTGGGGACGCCGTGTGGGTCAGGAAGCCCGGGTCACGGTGCACGGAACAGTCTGGACGCGGTGCTGTCACCGCCACGGTATCACCACAGGTGTGGAAGTCGACGGGGTACCGTGGCATGTCAGGGACCTCCGGTCATGTGGTGATGTTTTGCGTACCTGTCCTGATGTCTGAGGCAACTTCGCCTGGCTCGCCGCCCGATGACGTGGTGGAATATGTCAATTTGCCACTGTTAGCCGATGGGGGAGAGGGTTCATCACCTGATGTGGGGGTAGAGGGAGAGACGGTGAGTGAGAGTGAGGTCCGACGCAGTGACCGCTCGCGGCGGCCACCTGATCGCCTTCAGTATGAAGAACTGGGTACGCCCCATGCAGATACTAGCGTTAGTGATCCTTGAGGATCAGGAGGGGCTGTAGTTAGTATTGTATGCTATATGTTATGCATGTGTATGATAGAACTGGCACAGGCCGTGGCCCACAGCTGTGGCTGTCGGCCGGCGCCGGCAACTAGAGCTGACCGACGGCTCGAGTTCAGGGCCGCTGGCCGGTGAGCACGGCGCCGGCGAGCCGGGGCCAGTCGGCCGGAGTGGGAGGCGTGTGGCGGCTCGGTCCCCGCTTGGGAATAGACATTTCTGCGCATTTGTTTACTACACCCAGCTTAACCCTCGCCCATGTAGGGGGGGGGGGGGTGGTGCAACCCCCCTGAGGTTTTTCTTAGCTACACGCCGAACCGTTTCAGATAGCCTGCTCAAATTTTCAGTACCCTTTGGGGCATCCTTTGCGCAACTTTTGTTTTTTTTGTCAAGGTCATGTCAGGTCAAGGAGTTATGACGTCATAAAGGGAACAACCTCCGGCCAGATTTACGCTAAATTGGAGATTGCTTCACATTGGTATAAATGCCGACTGACCTGACACACTAGACGCGTTTACATAGGGTTTGTTCCAAGCTTATATCTCCGTCCGTGATGTTGCAAAAGATGCCAATGGTGCTGAACAATTTACAAAATGATCCCCTCTAAATATTTGAAGACCACTGCATCGAAATTATCGCCAAATTAACGAGCTAGAGCCTCGTCAAATATGCTATGTAAACCGGGTTACTGATGGATTGTTTTAAAATCACAACTAGCTGATTTGACATAGGCACAATGTCTGTTGACATTTTGAAGGTTACTAAAGGTCAAGGTAAGGTCAGTGACCTCGGTTGACCTGTAATGACTTTTTGCACTTGTATGCCTTTTCGGGGTATTTTGATGCCCTGATTTCGAATTTGCTATCCATTTCAGGCATCGTCGGTTGTTTCTTGTAGTTCATTTTGGGTCAGGGTCAGGTCAGTGACGTCACACGCCTGACGTGACTCAATGCACAAATGACCTTGCAGACTTCCGATGCTCCCAACGCATCATTTTTAGAGTTATGACATCGAAATACACACCAAACGATAGAGAATTGATCAAGGATCACGATAGGGAAGGTTTCAAGTCGATATCTCTTACCGTTTTGCCGCAATCGGCGCGGAAATCTGAAAAAAGTTAGATTTTTCCGAAAATTTGACCTTTGACCGGTCATAAGTAGGTCAAATGTTGACCTAGGACCAAAAATATACCACCAATCGCGAGATCTCGTTAAGAGCAATCCGTTGGTCTTTTTCGCTAAGCTCTACGACGCTCCGTTTTCAAACGCCAGGGGGGTCGCACCAACCCCCCCCTGCATGGGCGAAGGTGGCAAAACACCGTTTACGGGCGAGGGTAAAAGTCGGTGCTCGAAAAACGCACTCTATTATCCCCATCTGAAGTTAAGGTTCAGAGGTCGCTCACTGGTGGATGGCACGGTGTATTTGTGCAAGGGTACACGTCTACCGTATCCGACAACACATGATTTCGATACACTGATGCATTACATTCGTCCAGCGTGCTTGGCACGATAAAATTGTGTCATTATTCTGTTTATGTGTTATCAAACGTGTCGAAGGTCCCGCGAAGCGTGAAAATACTCAGCCTTATTGTGTTTTGGGTGCGATTAACACATGGACTGATGTGTTACCAGTACAGAACATGCCTCACTGTGTCGATTTGTTTTCAGTGTAACCGGTGACCTGTAATGACCCCCAGTGACTAGTGACCGTCTGACCCCCCAGTTGATCCGTGTCTAGTGAGCTCCCCGGTACCAGTGAGCACTGAGCAGCGGCCCAGCAAGGCTGTTGAAACTCACAGGGCGGGCGCGCCGGTGACGGGCTTGCTGTTGCGCTGGTCGATGATGACCAGTTGCGGACTATTGGCACTGAACAGCTCCATGGCACGCTCCTGGCTGTACACGGCGTCATAGTTGAGCTGGAGACGCGTGCAGGCGCGACACAGTGCCTTGCTGCGGCTGTCGGATCGACTGAACCACAGCAGTACCTGACAAACGGGGGAGAAACAGATACTGTCATATAACCCGCGCCCCACTGGGGGGGGGGGGCTATTCATAGCCCCCCTCGAGTTTTTCTGCAATAACTTCCAAACCACTTGACGTATCGGCGCCAAACTTTCAGTACCTTCGGCTGCATCAATTTGATACCTTGTGTCAAAATTTGAACTTCGTAGCTACCATAGGTCGGCCGGAAATGACGTCAGAGTGACGTCATGTTCGGCCGATTTGGACGCAAAACATTGAACCACGGCAATCGCTCCCAGGAGCTCAGTTTTTAACCTAGATCCAATTTCTTTGCATGAAAGGACGAAGAATTGACTGCGCTATCAAACTGCTATCTCGGATTTTAAAATTTTTGAAAATTTTGATTTTTTTAAAATAATAATATTCAAAATTTATGTTTTTATATTTTTTTCAAAAAGTTTTTGACTTTTCGAAAAAACCGGAATATATGTGACAGAACGCATGCTTATGACTAACTCTAGAACTCTAGCAAGTTTTAGCAAAATATCTTCAAAAATGGCCAAGTTATACGCATTATTGCAAAGAATTCATAATTATTAATTTTTCAAATCAATTTTTCAGTACGTAGGTATTTGACATCGTACACCAATATAAATAGCACCATCGTGTTCCTGAGCTCAAACTGCATCCAATAGACACCTTTTCTGTTGAAAAATTTTGACTTCAAAATTTGACCTTTTTTGACCTGAAAGTGACCTGACCTAAGCTAAATTCGACTCAAAATGACCTCTAATGACACAGACGACATCAAATTCGAAATCTATGGCCTAAATAGACCATAAAACATGTGTCACGTGACCGACGCATGATATAATATTTCCGTGACCTGTGATGACCTGACCCTGACCTGAAAATCAAAGGACAAGTTTGGTACCCTCAAGGTATCTAGAGCATCTGTTCACGAGTGTTGAAACCAAAAATGAGCCTGATCTGACTTGTAAGACGGCGGCCAGAGCCCAAAATGTGAACAAGCCAAAATGCTAATAATTTTTACTTTGACCTGACCTGTGACGTCATCGGTGACCTCGAGGTCAAGGAAATTAGGTTTCGTTCGACAGTTTTTCCGGGGCTATCAGACACCGTTTGAATTTTGACGATCGGCCCAGTAGTTTCGGAGTTAGGAGGGGGGGGGTCTATGGAGAGCCCCCCCCCCCCCAGTAGGGCGTGTTATACGCAGACCACAGTGGGGCGCGGGATAATAAACCGTCACATACACTAAACGGTAGCAATGCATCACAGGAGAGGGGCAAAATATACGCCGCTTGCCTACAACTTCAGCAAGAGCATGACTCCAATGGAATAACGCTTTGCTGCTGAATACCAACGAAATCACTAAGTTTTATTGCAGCTATCCGTTCAACTCTTGCCCAGAAATAAGAACAAAATGAAATAAACTTGAATAGTAAATTGCATTATTTAAAAAATAACAATACAAAATACCATTATATGCAGCCCATAGTCGGCTTATTTTAACGACCCCACAAAGTGATCACCCGTTGACTGAGGTCGGACCTCCGACCGCGCTAACTCACCCGTACTGGCTGGTGTCGCACCACCATCTGACCTAGCCGGCTCCTCTGCAACACAACATAAGCACACACAGGTCAGGAGACGGACCGGAAGCAGCGGCCCGATAACACACCATCAGCCAATGGCCCCGGGGTGCTCTCCATCTCCTATATTTAAACTGCAACCTTTCAGCGGCAGCGTTAAAAGTTTGGGCCTCTGGGGATGCTTCGACCACAGGAAAGCCATCAGGCACGCTATTCATCGTTGGATATGAACCACAAAATGCAATTCGGGCAGCACAATAAGCCTCACAATAACATTAAATAAACTATGTATCCCGGACTTCGAAGTATAGGTGTGTTAGGGTTTTAGGGGCTTAGGGCAGGTGCTTCAGCTCTCAGCGCATATGCGAGTAGGCTATCAACTCTATCGGAAGCGGAGTATCAAAGCAAAACACTTGACTGGGTCCGTGGGTTGGCAGCAGCAATGTGAGTGCCGACTCAATCAGACACGTGCATTGCATGCACCAGACAGTGAATACATTCATTCACCGATTGCCGCTCACCGTACCGCGAAAGCTGGCGCCCCGATTGCGTCCACTATTCGGTCGAGCGACGCGGCTCAAAGTGCAGCCGAGGCTCGATACGTTTGAGCTGGTGAATTGGCGTTTCCCGGGAGCTGCAGGACAAGCGTCCGTCCAATATGAGTGGCCTCTGTGATCGGAAACGGGATCCTGTACTCGGTCGGCAATTCGCCATGAATCGGTAACAGCTCGTCGGCTTTACTAGCCGGGCACAAAGCCATCCAATATTCCGAGCACAGTTCCGACGGAGGCAGTATGTAACTGCCCAATGGTAAATGCCGACGTAAATGCCGACCAGAGTCCGGGAACTCTGAGACGGGCAGCGGCGCGGCGGCCGCCCACCCGTGTCTGCGCCGTAACACGGAGACGGCATCGCTACCGTCGAATAGTACCTACACATCCGTCCAGCACAGCCTACTAGCACAGCCTACACATCCGTCCAGCACAGCCGTCCGACGGGCTAGTAGCCCGTCGGACGTCCGGCCCATGGGACGGCGGTCGGTCGGCCCCTGACCTAGATAACCCTCGGGCGGCGGTTTGATTGAGACTCCACCGTCGCTGGACGGCCGGTTGGCAGCCGGCGCGGCGAGCCCTGCCAGCCTGTCGGTCAGACCTCCGGCGACCACACCCTAACAGCATCGCTCCGCTGTCACGGCGCGCGGCCGGCTGTCAGAATCACGGAGACCAGGCGGGCCACAGCGCGTCGACGAGCGCACTAGTCCTCGGGGCACGTCATATGATGTCGATCAGCGCATCAGTAGACGTCTTGACACCACTGAGCCTTGCCCTCCACCACACGCTGCTGATTGGACCACGCGTGCAATGGAACTGAATTATTCCGGACACAAGCAGAAATGAATGGATGATTATGCGGACCCACGTCGGCTCGACTTCTTCGGGCAGTGAGTTCGGCATATGCTGGGAACAGATAAAAACTCTGGGAACAGCTATTCACCACGCAATGCGTTATCATCCATATCAGCGCTAATAAGTTACACTAGCACGAGTGAAAGAAGAGGGAATAAATATTGGTGCTGTCGTGTAATTTCATTTCACAGTTATGATCACCAATCCATCGCACAAATATGTACAACTGATAACAATGAAGGCGGAGCACCAAAGAAGCGTTCCGCTACCTCACAAAACTACGCCAATTGTTGTACAAAAGTATCGCAGCTACATCCATCATCCGGATTTGCCGTGTCCGGCTTTCCGATGTCCGTGTGTTTGACATGACGCGCCGCCGCGGGGACCAGAGGGCGGCTGCCGTCGACACATGTTCTAAGGGCCGGCCTCGGACAAGGCGGCGTCGGCGGAGCGGCAGCCTTTTTGGCGCGCTGCACGTCGTGTGCCGCACACGACACCCGAGCAGCACGGAGCCGCGGCGCGGCCACCGCAGGGAGTGGCCGCACAGAGCCGCCGCCGCCGCTGCTGGCATTCTTTTCCTCCATTAGCAGTGGCGGCCGGCGCGATCGACAACGAGCCGAGGCCGGCGGACGGGCACAGCACAGCGCGGCGGCGCGGCGGCAGCAGCAGCTCGGTCGGCCCGGCGCGGATTAACGACACGGATTAACGGCCAGCCGCCAGCGGCAGACGGTAATCCGCGGCACCCGCTCCACCGCCGGCCGGCCGGCCCGGCCCCAGCTCCGAACGACCCCGGCGCCGGCCGGCCTCCAGCTCCGAGCCGCAGCTCCAAAACACTGCAGCTCCATCACCGGCCGGTCCGTCCCCAGCTCAGAGCGTCCAGCTCCGGTCCGTCCCCAGCTCATGCCTCTAGTTCCGAGCCGTGCCCATGCTCTGGTCCGTCCTCAGTGTTCACAGTTCCCGTCCTTGCCCTGTTCTGCAAGATCACGGATCGATGCAACATCGGCTCTTCCATCACCCCATGGAACTGGGATAGATATGCTGGCCTTACATCGGGTCCCGGGACTGTTCTCTCAATTGAGCCTGACTGGGACTGGTAATAATGTCATTATGGCTCACTAGTACCGGGACTAATTGTCCAATGACCTTGCTGGAAGGTCGCCCTTCCACTGACCCTGACCCGCTCTGGGGTGGGTGACCGCCCGAACTGACCCTGTGACCCCTGCGCCACTAGCATCCCGCAGCGGCGATTCCGGCGTTCCGAACCGCAGCTGGCACGCCCGTATTTCGCCGCTCACGTCTTTTATCGCCCTTCTCTGAGCTGACCAACGGCCAGGACCACTCAGACCAGCCGAACATCGACTGGGAACTATGGGCTCACAGAGAGCGCTCAGAAAACTCCGCGAGTAAGGACCTACAGAAGTGGAGTCATTTGACGCACTAACATGCATTGAACGGATCAACTAGTCACATGGCTGTTTCACTATACTCCGTCGGAGATACAGTGTTTTGTTTGAATGATAACAAATTCAAAATTGCGGTCGACGCTTCTCAGCATTGCAAGGACTCAACCAAGAGCGGTATGGGCACCGAACACCTTTTTAATCCGTCTGACCTTTTCTAGGCGGCAGAGAACAAAACCAGCGACATAACTCGACGGGAACTTGGAGCCGAACACTCCTCAATTCACATGGTATGGTAAACACGCGCGGAAAGAATGACTTTGCAGAGGACTATCAGCAAACTGGAACTTTGTTCAAGCTGCGGCTAAACAGCCGTTTAAGTTGGCGAAAAGTATTTGATATTTCTTACGTGTGATGAAGGAGACCGCGTTCAAAATGTCGACTGACCATCAAGATACATAAACAAGTTTTGGAGAGTTGGACTTATTGCTCGTAATATCGTTTGCCAGAATTGTTTACCGTTCAAACACTCTACAAGTTTAATAGCTCCTGTTTATTTGCCGACGATAAAACGGCCCAGTGGTAGAATTGTGATCAGTCGTCGTGTCTTTCTGCGTCTGGCGGTGTCAGCGCTCACATAAGAGCTCTCTTATCACGCCCAGAAAGGTAATAGCCGTTTTCACGACGGCCATCTGGTACACATTTGGTGCACATCTGGTGCAGATCAGGTGCAGATTTGGTCAAATCAGGTTCAGTGTGTCTCTTAGTAGCTATCAGCTAGGGTTACACTCATTGCTTATATGCCTGCTTTGTCGTATTATCAGAGAGCATCATCGATTAAAAACTGAAATAAATTCATAAAATGAAGATATTTGCTGTAAAAGAGATTAGGTGCAGATTTGGTCAAATCAGGTGCACTCGCCGGATAGCCCGTCGTGAAAACGGCTAATGTCACCAACAGCGACACAGGCAGACCTCTGATAGCTCTCAGCGACAGGCCTCCAAAATGTGTCAGGTCAGCCCTCTGAAGGTCTCAGGACAGCTTTCGGAAGGTCTGAGGACTGATCTGGGCAGGTCTCAAGGCAGTTGTCGGCACGTCTCAGGACATGCAGCATTGGCATGTCTCAGGACAACTGGAATTGGCAAGTCTCAGGTTCTATACCTCGGCAGATTGTTTTTCGAGCAGATCTCAAAACAGTCTTTGACAGGTCTGCTCGCGACCGCCAGCGACGTGCCTCAAACGGCTCAGCAGAGTTCTCAGTGGGTCCAGCTGCTGGGTGTTTCCGTCCCACCCTCAGCGTGTCTCGTGCCTCCCTCGGCAGCACGAATGTAGTGCGGCGCACCCTCGGACCATCGCGGAGCGCCATTCATCTGTGACCTCCGCCGGTGTGAATAATTCAGGGCAGAGGGCCGCGCACCGCCCCCGGAGACGAGTGTTGGGCCGACACAGGCGGACACAACACGTCGTGCGAGGTTCGGGAGGTGGCTCTGGTGGTATAGTCGCGAAGATCTATTATAATTGCCCCAAGACTGGAAGGAAAGTTCAGGAAATTTTCCAGCATAAGAAGGGGAGTGGAGGTTAACATGATGAAATGCTATTTCTGTGTTAAAAGAAAAAAGGGTCGAGATGACGCCTATATTAAAATGGAATATCTCTCGGCGAATGAAGCATTAATCATCACCCAGCTCAGGAAGGAAAACTCTAGCTCCTAAACTCTGATGAGTACCTAATGACTACTGGCTAACTTCATATCGACCTAATGACCTAGTCAACCTAGTTCCCGTGGCCTCTGACCATGACCCGTCCTGTTTCCTGGTCTATGTTGACACTGACATTGGCGTGCGAGCCCATCGGTGCTTTGCTGGCCGGACCGCATTGTCGATTGCTGACCAGTGAGCACTGCCAGAGGATCCTGAACGCCGACGCGGGGCTGGGCGGGGCACAGCTGCCGCTAGCGACGGCGGCCGCCCGGTCACTTACTATGGCCGGGCCCACTCCATTTCATGATCTGACGTCATAGCCACTGCGTTTGATTGGTGTGACGTCGTAGATTCTTAAGTACCAGACGTCCTCGATCTTCATCGGGCAATTTCCCAGAACGTGACGTCACAGCATTTTCGCCGACGCTCCGCTCCACTGCCTTCGGCCTGGTTGCTATGGAGAATGGAGCTGGGTCGCCGGGCTCTAGCGTTGGTAACTGGGAGTTTGGAGCGCACC